ATAACGAAAATGACCACAGCGTTTCAAATTTTCGATTTCTTTGCACATTCTCGCCTCACCCTCGTCAAAGGGTGTTTCAGAAACATTGCGTCAATTTTATGTGGACAGTATTCAGAGAAATTTGGAGAACCTGTAAAAATATGATAAAAGGTCAGAAATGGCCTTTCGGGTCATTTATTAGTTGTATAAAATTATGTGATATAATGGTATATATAGATTCAATTGTAATGTACCGTAGTAGAATGACTCATAACTCACAAGGTCACTAGGATTGTATACGCGTAGTTAGATCCATGCGCATATCATTCCACAAAGACAGGGACAGAAATGAGCAAGAGCAGCGGGAAATTCCCCTACTCTTTCGAAAGATGCAATTGGCTCTTTCAAGTGAGCACGAGTTTAATGTGTACATTGGTTTTCCGGTTATTTATATTGCAAGTGCTTTATATTAATACAGTCATTGGTTGGGATACCTATAGAAAGCATCCCCAGTTCTCAGGGAGTGATTTTCTAATTATACTCCTCGGTGGAGAGAAACCTTTTTAATAAATTACCTTGCCCATTGACACAAGCAAATGAACTGCAGCGAGAATCGAAACCCCGATCTCAAATTGGAGAGCCGGAACTGCAAACGCTGTAACAACCACTCAAGTACTTTTCAAGATTTGTGCGAATATTTGACGGAGAGAAAAAAAAACCCCATTTTATTAGCAATTCTTCGGCGTTGTAAAGCCTATTACGACTACATCATGGATACCTTACTATTGCGCTTTAAAAATACGGTATTACCATTAACCATCTGGGATATTATGAATACCTGTAATACTGCCCTCTATCGAAGAACAGTCTGCAAAGCAGCAGGTAAAAAAATGCCAGAACTTCATGTGTTGATCAAAGCTGAATCTGAGTATTTTATATGAAAATAAGACGAGTTTTATTAAAAATACGAATAGCTTGAGGAAACAACGTACGTTACTTTATGGTATCGTTTATATTTATATTCATTTAAACAATATGAGGTCCTGTCCAGAAAATCAAATTTTATTTGACAAACCATTTGACATTGACTAATGCTGGGAAGCTAAACTGCTGTTGGTTGTTAGGAGAGTAGCGATCCCCTTCTTAAAGCATTGAACATCCAGGCCCCAACGCTTAAGATAGAGGGATGGGAACTCCGCATCTGTCTGTACAGGTTCGACTACCTTTACTGTGAAATACTCATTTTTTCTTTTTACTGATATCAGGGACTGAATATTATTCAGATTTATTTGAATTTTTTTAGATAATTAGCTTTTTGGAAAAGAAAGCCCAATATCATATTTAGAAAGGCTCTTCTTGACTTGGCAGACTATGTGGATTTTCCTTCTGTTGCTAATGATTTGGTATTTCCGTTAAACGGCCCGGGGTATTCACTGCTCCCGACGGTTGTCAGCCGAAACTATTCTATGAAGAACGCAGCGACGACGCACGCGAAACGGATCGTTTTTAATGAGGATAATCAGCAGACGGCGTCTCGTCGTCCAGCGCTCACAGGGTGCAGAGTTGGATGATTCGTCGTATTGATTACCTTCTTTTGTCTAGAATTCTATTAAATATGGGCCAGCATTTGTTAATCTTATGGGCCAATATGGTTGTTCATTTGACTAATTTATTCTTAGTAATTTAACTGCTTTTCTCACCATTATTGTTGACAATTTTGTTTTGCGCGTTCTTTTTGTGGGTATACCTCTATTCGCCAATAGGTACAAGGCGTAAAATAAAATAAACAAATTGGTCTGAAACACAAAAACAAACCTAAAAGAAAACTATTCTTTGAATTATCAAATAAATTTCAAATCAATTCAACAACTCACTCCTCATGGTTTTTGCACTAAATTAATTTAAACATAGGATTACAAACTTCAAAAAATAACACGTGTTAGGCCTATTTACAATAGTAAACAAAGTGGCAAAATATATATTATCGAATCGTGAAATATTGAAACAACATAATATTGGCAACATTAATTTTTATGACGATGCACAGTTTTCATTTTTGCAGTTTTTGCATAAAGTCAAGGTAATATCACATGAATTAGTGCATAATAGTGAACGAATGTCATTATACCTACTACATTACATACTGCTATTACAACTGGATGAGTAATTATAGATTTATTAATTTTTTGACACGATGGAAATTTACTAATTTTTATGACACGATAGACACAGTGTTCATTTTTTGCAGTTTTTGCATAAAGTCAAGGTAACTAAGTATCACATGAATTAGTGCATAATAGTGAACGAATGTAATTATACCTATTACATTACATACTGCTATAACAACTGGATGAGTAACTATAGGGTTGACAAAAGCTTCTATACATCTGAGCAATTTCATCGTTTGCTACTTATTTCAAGCATTGTCATAAGAAATGATTATACTTTAGCCATGTACGTAGATCGAGACTAGATGTACTTAATTATGGTGTTTCATTCAATTTGTGAAATTAATCTTCTAATAATTTACAAAAATATTTGTGGTCTATTTTGTGTATGATCACAATAGATGATCAGTTTGACAACATTTCTACAAAATTTATAGAATGACTGCAACAGGATTTTAAGGAAAAAACTATTTCTTTAGGCTCTCAACAATGTTATGACTTGTTATGTGATTATTCAACCTGCAAAGTCATGGAGTGTGTTTTAAATCTTTTTTCTTAAACCATTATTATTATGTATCAAACTTTATTCAAATATTATAAGATAGTATCATAATATTAATAATACATGGAACGACTGTGTATTCGGTACGACAACGCGTCAGGTAGGGCAAAACATCACTCTTATGATATATGGATATCTTATCAAATAAGAAAAAACTTGGTGGCACTCGAACCTAGGAACTTTCGATGTCGAGCGTCCTAACACTTGACTATACAACTTAACTTTTCTTCCCATAATATACCGGTAGGCCTATTTGATACATTGTAACAGATGTGTATAACATTTGATAATTTATGCTGTATAAATATATTACTCCTTTCATTAGTTTAGTAAATATATATATATATATATATATATTAGTAAATATAAATAAATAAATATATATATATTTATATATATTTATATATATAGGCCTATATACAGTAATGTAAATATATATTTATATATGTTTTGTGCAATGAAAATAAGCTTTTGCCCTGTCAATTATTTCAAGTTTTCCCTCTCTTGTCTTTAGTATATATTTATGAGTTCCAATTTCATCACTCATTTTTACAAATATTTTATATTTTTACTGACTTACAATCAGTGGCGTAACAGGCGGGGGCAGGGGGAAGACTTCCCCCACCCCCAGTGACGGATTTTACCGGGCTGACCAAGCCGTCGTACCGGGCAGGGTAAGAGGAAAGAAAGAGAGAGGGAGAGGGAGGGAAAGAGAAATAAGGGGAAAAGAAAGGAAAGGAAAAAGGAAAAGAAAAAAAAAGAAAAATAAAGACAAGAATTGTCTCTCTCCACCCAGGAGGACAAGTGGGTACCTGGTAGGTTCGAACACAACTGCGCTGATTACTAGCTGAGTATGTGTTCCATACGTGTTTGATCCAATGACTTGGGTAGTAATGTGAAGCGCTTAGAGGCTTTATGTATGAAGCGCTATATAAGACCGAAATATTATTATTATTATTATTATTTATTATTTATTATTATTATTATTATTATTAAAAAGGAAGATAATATGATATATGATATCACAACACCCTACACTCCCTTCTCCACTTCAAAACATGTCCACAGAGTTAGAGCGAAATAGTTGTGAGTGATGTCTGATGTAAATGAGATACACAGGCTGAGGGAAGACGTACATCGCATTGTGGTTTTACTCTGAATTGATCAAAAATCCTGCAAAAAGTCCTAAAATGTGTAATTTTTAGTGAAAATTGGCCTAATCTAACAAGAAATGCGCTCGAAGCGTGCGAAATTGGACATTTTTAGGCACTTTCAGGGGTAAAAAGGACATCATCTTTCCCTTTCCCCTTTCTCAATTTTCCCAGGGGAGGAGGAAACAGGGGGAAAGATTTTCCACAGGGGGATTTTTCCCCTGCCCCGTTGGTTACGCCACTGGTTCTAAGTTAATTGAACACATAAGTCCCAACTCAAAGAGAAAAAAAAAATAAGATAGATTGTTTTACCATAAAATAGGGCCTCAATTGGTCCATTCTAAAATATATTCTAGAGGTATCCGGTATTTTAGTTCGTAGAACACGATACTTGTTATTTTATTATTTTTTTTATGCATTATACTTCATACAAGGTGCTGGTTTGATTTGGCTGGTGCTATGTTTGGTGGTACTTGCTACAAACAACCATGTATTGTGATACAACCCTGTTAATGGTATTATTGACAATCTACAGTACAATATCACAAAAATATACATAGCACATACATTAGAATATTGAAACCAGCCAGTCATACGTCATAGCAGTCGGCTCAACTGAGCCACTGTATTTGCGCTGAACCGCGGAGATCTCTATTCTATTCCCATCGCTGTTCTCCTGGTTTCAGCTGGATGGCTGAAATGTATATGTTACGATAGCGCACCGTCTTTCGGATGAGACGTTTAAGCCGTTGGTTTATCCCGTGTGCATTATGGCCCGTGTGCACGTTAACTCGTATTAATTGCTATTAAAAGTAAGTAAATCCTTGTCGAGTTACAGGGCTCATAGGCTGTAATGGGGCTGTATATTAAACCACAGTTTCAAGTAGCGTGAAGCGGATAAGAGAGTGAAATGCTCCCCCTGGGTGGGACGCCAGTCCACCACAGGTTACTCCCAACAATATACTGCTACCCATTGATACAGCAATATGTACACAATGTAGACAAATTGCCGTACTCAAGGACACAAGCGAAATGCACAGCGAAGGATTGAAACCCCCACCTCGAAGTTGGAAATTGAAACGATTTCTACTGTGTTGGGTCAATAAAGACTTTAAGTAATAATCAAACGATGCAATCTAGTTACATGGTTAAACACCGATTCAAGAGAAATAATTTTTAATAATAAAACATATATGATTAAGCATCAGTGTAACCTAAACAATTTCGTAGAATACTACTTTTTAAATTACAATAATGCTCATTTGAAATTTGCCTATTGATGTGAAAATGGACGAAATACTGTAAATACAATTCTGCTACAATATATCTTTTACACCAAATTATTGATTACGGTATGGCGTTCTCCGGAACTGCCAAGGAAGCACTTAAACATTTAATTATCGCTTGTTTTGCATAAATGTTATCTGCACCCCGACTAGATGCTCTTCTTGACAAATTGACGTTAGCACATTCTATATTTTCATCTTCACGCATTACTTCAGATTTTAATTGACTACTATTTCGATGCTCAGGGATTGTAATGATAATCCCGTTGTTGTCAACACCACCAGAGCTCCCTTCACTGTCTATCCTCGTGGTGTCTGTTGTGGTTTTGCGGAGACTATAATCAGAAACTTCACTCTGATTTATATTAGGGTCGGATGAATGAGTAGACACGATGACGTCATCACTTACGTTTGCCGATGGGGGATTTGAAAATGCCGGATTATCAATCGGCACCATGTCATCTTGAGATTGATTTTCCCTGTTATCATTCATGTGTCCCCGCCTGGTGATGCCCGGACGTTCGGCTCCCGTAAGCACCATTATATTTGAAATATGTTGGATTTCACTCTCTGAAAGAATTATGTTTTGAAAATAATAAAAATAATATTGTTCAAGTGTCATTGCAATTGTTCTATAGCAAGAAAAGTAGTGAAACCACCACAAAGCTCTACCATTTCACACAAACTGATAAAATATTACTATCTGGTGAGTTTGACCAACAAAAAATGATGGTGTTAGTTGATTTGCAATGACATTTGTGCTTCTGGAAATTTTTAGGTTAGTCTTAGAATATTTATTATTTTCCGTTTTACCACATCATAGCTTTCTCTTATACACATCTAGATGTGTATAAGAGACAGATTCTGAGCCATCCAAATCTTAATATCCTTGATACATAATAAGCCTATAGCCAGATCAATAGTAGAGGGATGAGAAGGATCAAAATCCAGATACGTTGCAGATCATCAGCATATAAATGATATTTAATACAATGACGCCTGATGCTGTCTCCAAGCGGACTGATGTATAGGCTAAAAAGAGCAGGACCCACTACCGAGCCTTGTGGAACCCCGCAAATGCTAATAAGTGTGGATCCGACTAATTATCATTGACACAGAGACGACAACTCCGGTCGGTGAGATAGGAATCAAACCACCTTAAAGTCATATCCTGAAAATCCAAAAGAAATATTCAGACGATTAATAAGGATCCTGTAGTCAACCGTGTCAAACGCAGCTGACAAATCGAACAAGACTAACAAGACACCTCGATGTTTATCAATTGAGACAGCAATGTCAGTATACACCTTGAGTAATGCTGTTTCTGTTCATATATGGAGTGGACGATACGCCGACTGCAAGTGTTCAAAAAGTTTGGTCGAAGTAAGGTAAGCATTAAGCTGAATAATTGCCGTTTTTTCAATCTTTTGAACAAAAAGATAGCTTAGATACCGGTCTAAAGTTGCTCGCAAAACACTGTTATCAAGGCCAGTTTTCTTTAAAATTGGTTTAACCACAGCGCAATTATAAAACGCCATATGATAATGAGACATTTACAAGCTTTTTAATCAAAGGCAGAATAATATTAGTATGCTTTTTGAGCAGCTCAGTAGCATTCATATCATCAAGATATGGTGAGTTTGATAATCATTTCCTGAGCTAAGCAGACATATTATATCCACGCCTGTCATAGGAGAGAACTCAGGAAAAGCCACAGAATAGTGAGCATTAGTGGGATCGCCAGGACAAGGATCCAATGTGCCAAGCTCATGTCGAATACCATCAACCCTTGCAAAAAAGAAGTTGGCAAACATTAATCAAGTCTTGAGGGCAATCAAAATCAGGCAGTGATTTTGTGTTTCGATTAAGTAGACAATTCAATGCATTGAATGACGACTTCATATCGGTGCAACCAGATAACAAGTTTTTGAAGTGAATGACTTTCCAGAACAGCAACTTTGACACACCGTTTAACAGCATAAAAAATGTCACGGTTAGTATCAGATTTGTCCTTCATAAACTTGCGCTCACAATGTCGACGAAAACCACGTGCCTGCACAATCTTTTCATTATACTTCTATTAAGTAATGATACACTATTAGGAATAACATTATTTTTTTATGGTTTATATTCCTTCTCTTTCTGATTATTATTCAAATATTTCACATGTTACACCCAGAAGCATCTCATTATCATTATCTATCATAGCTCTAGCCCATCACTTTTCAGTACATGCTTTGCATGGAGGTCAGACCATGGTCAGACATACAGTCTTCCTGGCTTATTTCCTCCACTCACAATGAAACTTCACTGTGTCTAGGTAATCATAAATTCCAAATTTTATCGTGAAGCTTTTATTTTGTCCATAATATTATTGTTATTTTGGATTTATTAATCTATATTGCTCCACTGAATTATTACAATGATATGATATTATATGCCTTGCGTTCATTGTGTGAAACACAATGGATAAACTGAAACTGAACACTGAGATTCGATTCCGATTGGAGGGCAATTTACTTCATTATTTAAATATGGACGACACTTCAACGCAAACGCATGAAACCGACAGAGAAAAAGTGATACGGTAGTTTTTTTTTTTTATCATTGTAGGCCTAAACAAGACACGACCTGTGAAGTTTAAAAAAACATTTTTCTTTCTAGTCCAACCCTATTTAATTACATTCGTTAGAGATATTAATGTGATATGACGAAGTAGTGCAAAGTCTGACTTCCAACTGGATATGGCAACGACTTTAGAAAAAAAACCAAAAAAACCTTGCATAAGAGAGACAATTCTTTTCTGAAACCACCACAAAGCTCTACCATTTCACACAAACTGATAAAATATTACTATCTGGTGAGTTTGACCAACAAAAAATGATGGTGTTAGTTGATTTGCAATGACATTTGTGCTTCTGGAAATTTTTAGGTTAGTCTTAGAATATTTATTATTTTCCGTTTTACCACATCATAGCACATTAATGATCATGTAGGCACTATTAGGCCTATGTGATATTTGGTAGAACAGTACTATGTACTGAATAAAAGAGAAGAAAGAAACTTTTCAGTCATTACCATTACCCCACTTAATATCGTAAAGCAACAATCACTTACGTGTCAGCCCAAGGGGTAGTTCTCTGTAACACTCAAACCCGCACATCCGCAGTGGTGAACACACAACTTTGTGAAATGTTCGTCGGTAGTGAAGACACATAACGGCATAAACGATGATGTTGAAAGATGAGTCGATCATGATTAGGAATATTGAGACATGGCTAAAGATGTCCAGATGCCTTCCTAGTATCCAATCAGTCAAAATTGAAGCCTTAAAAAACAAAAAAGAAAAATTAACGCAAACTTATTCGGAGTAGGCACTTTTCGCCAGCACTTTACAACCCGTGTCAATATTTTAGAAAATAACATTATTCGTTCACTGTGGCCAGTTGTGTAATGCAGCATCCAAACAAATTCAAAGAAAATCTAGCCCGTGGCCACTGCAGGCTGATTTTGCCCGCGTACACTGCATGCAGTTTTCCCGCGGACATCGCGTCCAAACAAGTGCACTACCCGTGATCGGTACCGTACTGTAAGTGTTGTGGATTGGAGGGATAGGCCTACATCATTTTATGTTCCCGTTCTCTTATTCACCACCACATAAAAGCATTGCACGTCGTATTGTAAGTGTTCCCAATTGGAAATATTTAATTAATGAATAGTGGATACGACCCTAGCAGCTCACATTTGTTGATTTCTAGCAACGTCAATTTTTATTTCTAGTAGGGATGTTTTTCTTAACGAAGATAGTATAGGCTAATCTAAACAACGTTGAACAGGTTAGTGGTTTTATAACAGGAATATTTTTTTAAAATATAAATTCGAACATTTTCCAAAATTTGCAAGCTTATCCCTATAAACCACATATATATTTATTATAAATAAAATAAATAGGCCTATATTTATTTATATTCATATTAATTTAGTAATTAATTGTAACCTCCATTACTTATTCTATTTACTTTCCATTTTCGACAATTATATGTTGGCAACATCCAAGATAATAACTTCACGATAATTGCGTTGCAGTTTGGTTTTAAAAGGTTGCTTTTTGTAGAACCGTAATTACGTATTTATATCCTACTTTCTGATTAAATAGAGTTGCAAACGTTGTTGAAAATTTGTGTTAAAGTTATCTTATAACATTAACCTAGCCACGAACGTTCAAACGTTTTGTGTTTACTGGGATGTATATTTCAGTGTGTTTTTAAAAATTATTTATCAGCATGATTTTATTCTATTGTTAAAAATCACTTTTATTAAATAAACATATAAAACACATTACAACAATTAATAAAAGGAAAACATTAAAAAAAAATCTCTTCTAAGATGACATTCTTAAAATAAATGAGAAGGGAGGGGATAAAAAGCCCAAACATATTACAAAGGAAGAAAGACAGAAGAGGAAAAGAAACAGAGACAAACCATTACACACAAGGAGGGACTACAACGTAAACAAAACGATCGCATAACATTGTCGCATCGCCTACCATCCTGCAAGATAGGCCTATTCCAGATTTTTAGCTCTTAAAAAAATGTTTCTTTGTAAAAAAACAAATAAAATATTATGCCGAACCTCAATTTCGTACATTTTGCGTCGGTCGGGCGTGGCAAACACAACATTTTTTTTCCCTTAAACTATAGCCTATGGTGAGGATAATAATAATAATAATAATAACAATAATAATAATAATAATAATAATAATAATAATAATAATAATAATAATAATAATAATAATAATAATAATTATGATAATAATAATGATGATGACAATGATGAAAATAAGAATAATGATAGCATGGTCTTACCGTCCAGATCAAGCATGGAATGTAATACAGAATTACTATTGCAGCTACAGTCCTCGACATACGAATGCATCGTTTAAAATTGACAGAATTATTGCCGTTTCCCTTCCTCGTGCTTTTAGATTTTTGATTTTCCGTAGATCTCTTTGGATAGCGTCGCCAGTTTGATTTCTTTTTTTCAACTTTTCCCGAATCAATTGCTTGATTTTGTCTGGGATCAAACATTTTTAGAGCGTGGACAAATCCAGAATATGTGTACACAACGATTGGAATCTGAGGATATATTAACGTTAGAATCAACAGATTGTACCAACTCTTCGCTTCAAACAAACAGTATTCATCTTCAGATTGTAACTCGATCAGATCCGTTAAGGAAATTGATGCCGTTCCAATAGACAAAAACATTATAAAAACTAAAAGTTTAATCATATTTGAAGTGGTTAGATAAAGCTTATAGATAATTGGTTTTCTGATTGCAAGTAATCGATCTATAGTCATCAGGGAGACCACTGTTGTAGAGAATAATATATTCGCAGTCACAAAAAAGGCACTCATACTACAAGCCCATGTTGGTATATCTAGGCCGGTCCAATAGTGATAAGCAGCAACTGGAAATACAGTTATTGTCATAATATAATCAACTAGCGACAGGGAAAATATCAGAGCGTCCGGATTACTCGCAGATTGTAGGTTGAGTACGGTTAATATGATAAAAATATTGGACACGTGTATGAAAATCCCGAAAAAGATTACAACGGTTGCGAGGATGAGGGACGATGGGTCATGGCCTGTTATGTCGTCTTCTTCTAAATCCAGTATTGATCTGACATCAATAGGAAACGTTGTGGAATTCATATTAGTTTCGATGCTTCTTATAGAGCTTGCCATTTCAAAGAACAAATTGAACGCTATGGAAAGTGTCTCTGCTCCCAGAAGATATCATGAAATACGTTCTCGCTGTAAAAATGCACGTGACACCAATCAGAGTTCCCAGACAATACATTTTACAAACATTGTATTCTTTTGCATATCAAAATTCATAGTTCTCAACTATCTTGACTTGCATCATTTTGTGGTTATCCTGCATATCTATACGACATTGCTATAAAAATCAAGATTATACAAATATTATATAATATTTCATATATGAAAAGTGAAAATAAGGTACAGCGCCCTCGTCTGCTGGTAAATTGAATTCTTTGCTATGGTGACTGATGTCACATACTCTCTTCAATGATAGCAAATATCTTATAAGGCTATGTTCAGACACAACGATTTACGCTAGCGTATCGTTAATCGAGTGATGTGAACTTGGGCGCGAACGACAGTCGCGCAATCACTGGCGTACGGTAATCCAGCAACAGGCCCCAATAGCGTACGCCACTGATTTACGCATCAGTGATTTTGAACTTAGCCAGGATTTGACCAATCAAAATAAGCCTAGATGTAAACAGAAAATATAGTGCTCGAATTACAAATACGAATATTTCGTATACTTACGCAGCGTTCGTTAATCGCCCAGTTTGGACATCTCGCTAGTAACGCCATGGATTAACGTACGCCTGGCGTTAGATACGCCTGGCGTATCTCTCAGGTCTGAACGTAGCCATAATCACAAGACAGCGTTCTCCGCGATTTCCGCGTGCAAATTCTGTAATAACGAAGTGTACGGCGCCCTCTTGCAAAATTGAAAACTTTTGAACCTTGACCGCTCTGATTATAGCGTATGCCGCACGACTTTACGTTTACGCGTAACAATTAGAAGGGTCCTATTTACAATGCGCCCTCTCTTTAGACCATAAGGAACAAATTAACGTACTTGGTAACGAACTTATGGCGTAACGCGAACACCCTACCTCAGATCCATAGCAACGAATAGGACGCCCTCTCCCAAAACTGATTACTTTTCTGTGCCAAATAAGCGCTTCTATTTGTTACGCGAAATCGCGGAGAATGCTATCTTGTGTTTAAGATATTTGGAAGATAGTTACCAGCTGACGAGGGCGCTCAATATTATGTGAATGCAGTTTCCATTATAATGGACCTGTCTGGAGTGGCAATCAAACAACAACCGGCCAATCAGAACAGTGTCAGGAATTCGCGCGTGTCCAAGAAACACACGCGTTGTCGTACCACAACAAACGCACGTGTTTACGTATGTTTTTACACTGTCGAAAGGTCCATTATTTATCAAAAATAATAATAAAATAATTTATGAGTAACGAAAATTTTTAAAAAAATCACAACCTATTACAGATATATCTGTAATATTGTTTTTATCACAATAATTGTCTATTTGTAAATCTTATGGGAATTTAAAGAATTTGTTATTTCAACAGAAACAGTTAATTTCTAATACACAAAAGCCTGGTTCTCACGGGAGCTAACCGTTGTCACCTGCGTGAGAACGCCCGATCGGGTTAGCGCTAACCGTTGTTACGCTAACGGTTAGCAAGCGCTATTTTATCATCAACCAATCACAGGTACGCGTTTACAATTTCCAGTTTCTTATTGGCCAGTGATTCGATCATCATATTTTTGGTATCCGGATCGGGATTTTCTCGTATGGACGCACGTCAGCTAACGGTTAGCAGGATCCGGATCCTGCTAACCGTTGGCAGCCGTGTGAGAACATAGCCGCTTATCATACAGCATTGTCAATACCGTCATCATCATCATCATCGCCAATGTTTTTGCTCTTAACCCGGAAAATTTTTTCAGGACATTCGTTGCTGGTGCAATTCCGTTGCTTTTGTACTAATTCCATCCATTCGAGGCACCCAGCCATTAGCTATAGAGCTGTCTCTTATACACATCTAGATGTGTATAAGAGACAGTATATGCTGTAGTATTAAGTAAATAGAATATTTGCACTTACAGTGATGAAATAAGCAATTATAATAAGGTCGAATACAACAAACGTAATATTCCTAATGAATATTTGGAAGTGTATTCCACTTAATTATTCAGGTGCGTTGATGGCTTTGGTTATGCTATCTCTACAGGTTATGGGCCAACTCCATGCGATATATCTGCATTTTCACACGGTCAAAATATACAAAGTTATCGTCCATAATTTTACGTATACATCGTTATTGATTTGGTGTAATGTATAATATTAGTGAATTATATATTATTTACACCAAGGTCAGATGTCAAATTACCTGTTCTTAACATAATAATTATTACAGCAGCTGCATTTGCATTCAATTGGCTAGAAGAAATGAGCCAAAATAGTGTTGTTAATTCTAAAAAAGTCACTCATGGTCTCATTAATATCTGTCTATAATGAAGCATCAGCTATATGGAGTTACATAATTTAAATTTAAAAAGTCCATTTAGTTAGTATGTATGCAGAAAAATTGTGAATATCTTAAAGTACCTAAAATGCAAGACCAAAGATAGCCTCACTGTAAATGTTCTGCGATCCCCACAATTATTGTTAAATGCTAAGTAATCAAACGAGAATCATTCTCTTTTTTGTAAATGTTTATATTAATGTTTATAGTATTTAATGAAATTATTTTTATAAAAGAAAAAAAAAACAAACTTGTTCCGCTCTTTGTATGTGTTCTATATCCGACTAAAATAAATACAAGTGTATTGACAAACGCTCTACTTGGTAAATGAATAAATACTGCAACTACATTTTTCCACACTTTATTATCATTTATCCTCAAAACTATGTAAAATTATAAAATATATGATAAAACATACGCCATTCAAATCAAACTGTTTCTTTGATTAATAATTTTAAGTTGATTACATGAATTTTGTTGAATTTGGAAACAAGTGGGCTTATAACAAAATACAAAATGACCATTGGTAAATAACCGAAGTGTCATTTCAGTAGAATTAGGAGCTTTCTGACCGTCAAGCCGAGCACCATACACTGCGCAGGCCATCGTTGATCGACTCGATTCTATGGGGAACTACACGACGAGGCGCGCGCAAATTGAAAGTTTTTAATGACAGTTTGCTCAAAATTATGCTCATAATATTGTCACAGAAATCAGCAGCAGACAGCGATGCATCGTCAAGCATTCGCAGTGAGGGGAGATGGATTCGTCGTGCGATCGTCGTACTGAGCATTGCTTGCCTGGCTTAAAAGTGTACCGCGTGTATGTCGATGGGTATGAAGACTGAATGGCAGATCGCAAGAGAAACATTTCTACAATGATGATATATGCCTAAATTCAAGGTGCATTCACACCGAATCTGAATATTCGGTTCCGAAGTCTGACCGAACCGATCAGATCAGAGCATCGAATCCGTGTGTACGAATAGAGACGCTGGCATTTACAGCGCTTCGGAAACGCTGTCCGAACTTGAGTTCGGATCCGATGTCAATGCAACTTAAGAGCACTTTTATTCAGTTTCAGGGAAATGCTAAATTAAATTAAGACATCAATTTATGTCCAGATTTACTTATATTTGCAAAGCATGCAAATTAACAAGCAGAAATATCTATACAGTTCGCCCTCCAATTGGAGACCATCCTTGTGACATGAAGATTTGGGGTGGTCTCGGGGTTGGTCTCCAATTAGAGGGCTATCTTTGTGTTAAAAGGTTGAAGATTGTTATTTGGGTCTTTGGAAAAGGTCTCAGAATTAGAGGGGTCTCGAATTGGAGGGTGCACGGGGGGGGGGGGGCTCTCCCCCCCCCCCC